TTCATATATATATATATACACACAAATGGCTTCACGCATTTCTGCACCTACTCTACCAGTACTTACCTATCTGTCTATCTATCTGTCTATCTATCTATCTACCTATCTATCTATCTGTCGACCTGTCCATCTATCGCTGTGTTTGTCTATCTCTATCTACCTGCCTATCTAACTATCTACCTCCCTACCTACCTACCTATCTGTCCATCTAACTATCTTTCTGTCTTTCTCTGTATATCTAACTATCTGTCTGTCTATCTACTTAGTCAGCTAGCTATCTATCTACCTAACTATCTATGTACATACGTTTGTACGTATGTATGTACGTATGGCCGATCGGGTGCATGTGGGTAGACAGACATGCACGCATACGTGCATGCACGCACGCATGCATGCATCCGCCAGCACGCCGCATACATACACCTGAACCTGCATACTAGAAAGAATGGATGGATGGATGGATGGCCAGGTCAGCTAGGTAGCCAGCTGGCCGGCCGGCTAGACAGTAGTGGGTAGCTAGGCCAGGCAGTGAGGTACATACATGCATAACTACATACATACGTACATACATACATACATACATACATACATACATACGGTCCATATATCCATACATACATACATCCATCCATACATACATACCTACGTACATCCATACATACATACATACATACAAACATACTTACATACATACATACATACATACGTACATACAAACGTACGTACATACATATATACATACGGTCCATATATCCATACATACATACATCCATACATACATACCTACGTACATCCATACATACATACATACATACATACATACATACCTACATACATACCTACATACAGTACGTACACACGCAACGCACGCGGCTTGTGTTGATATAGACAAGTGGATGAGGTACACCAGAGACTGGAGCAGACCACTTGGCTGCCAGGGTGCCGATCATCACCTCTTTCCCGATCGACTTCCTTACTCTCCCAGAGAGGTGGGATCTGAATGGGAGTTTCCGAAAATTAGGGTACCTTATATTGGGGTCCTTATAATAAGGATCCTACAATTTAGGGTACTACATTAGGGAGAGAGAGTCCCACTGAGTCCACGTCTCTACAACCTGGAGAGAAGTCCGAGAGTCGGCTGCGCTCGCGGGTCAGGTCGACTGCTGGTCCCTCCGGGCCCTCCGGGCCCTCGGCCTGAGGACCCTCCACCTGTGCAGAGAGCAGGGCCAGGGCCTTCTTGGAGGCTTCGGGCGTCGGGGTGCAAAAACGTGCCTGCTCGACATCCCCCTCACCCTTCGGCAGAGCCTTCCAAAAAGTTTTGCGCTGGTGGATATAACGGGCTTTGACAAGGAAGCACCACTTGTCGCACACCTCCGGCGGGTAGAGCGGATTCATCGCACTTGCCTCGGATTGCACGCAACTGTCTTGTAGCAGCACCTCTGCCCACTCCACGACTTCAGGGCATTGTCAGCACTTGTTGCAGCGCAAAGGAGACTACAGGTGCCGGCAAGCCACGATTACACTGAAAGGGATCACTCTCAGGAACCCGGGCACGCTGACGCCCGTGACCTCAACCTGTACAGTGAGCCACGCAACCGGCGACATGGCCAACTTCCTGGCTGGGGCGAGCCTCCTGCTTGGCGGTGTTGACCATTTCGACGACAACTTCTACCCTCTCGCCAGTGCTTCGCGAGTTATAACCTGCAGGAGGCGACCAATGGGACAAGTATCGCATGCATCCGAGTCATCGCCTGATACTGCGACCGCACTTCTCGGACCATGCGTCCCTCTCCCAGCATGCAGCAGCTTGACTGGAACACTTGGCGATCTCACTCAACCAGTTCCTCATGCAAGCCGCAAATGTGTGCGTCCGGCTTGATCCAATCCGGCATCTTCCAATTGGTTGGGAGCGAACTCCTTGGTATGCATGCAACTCGCGTGGCAACCCCACCGAGCACGAGCAGTTCCGCAGCATACTTTCTGAGAACGAGCACTTACAATGGTCATACAGAAACCCGGTGAAGCAATTCGAAGCTCCCTTGTCCCTCTTGCAACTGTGCCCCTGGCAAAGCTGACGTTGGTGCTCCAGGCATTGGAGCCCGATGGTGGGCATTGATGCCTGCTGCGAAGGTCTACGACCTCGCCTTGTCCGTCTCTGCCGTTGGAGTGTCAACCCCAGCCTTGCGATGAAGCCACCCGCGCCCCCCGGCCCATCAGCACGTGCGTGAGGTTAAGCGATGCCGGCTTGTGACCCTGCCAGATGGATGAGCGTTGGCATGTGCATGGGATGCATATGCATGCATACATATACATGCATACATGCATGCATGCATACAGACATACAGACATACAGGCACACAGGCATACAGACAGACAGACAGACAGACAGACAGACAGACAGACAGACGTTCATACGTACGTACATACATACATGCGCATGCCGCATATTCACTTTAATGTGCATATGCATGTTAATGTACGTATACATGTACATATACATATACATATACATATACATATACATATACATATACATATGTACATACATGTACATGTACATGCACAAGCAAACACGCATGTGCACGTGTACAAATACGCCTACATGTAGACCTGTATGCCTATACATGGGCATGCACGTATACACATATAAATATACCTGTACACATGCATACGCATAGGCATATACAAACATATATATATATACATATACATGTACATATACATATACATATACATGTACATATACATATACATATACATGTACATGGTCATATTATATACATATGCATATACCTGTATATACGTGTATGTATAAATATATTAATACATATATATATATATGTGTGTGTGTGTGCGCATACGAGTGTGTGTGTGTGTATGTATATTATATATATATATATATGTACGTATGTATGTATGTATGTATGTATGTATGTATGTATGTATGCGTGCATGCATGCATGTATGTATGTATCTATACACACATGTGTGTACAAAAACACGGGGACCCCGATATGCAGGCACGCAAGAAACGTCTGCACAAGTTTCACAAGTTGTTACATGCGTGCTCACAGACGTGATGAAACGTTGCCCTCCGATCCTTCCACTCTGCAAAGAGAAAGACTCCATACCTCGAACCCATCATTTTGCCCAAATCCTGAGCTGTTGCTTTCCTCAGGACCCCCAAGCTGTACATGGCATTCTGCTTGTTCAACCCTAAATAAACCCAAAACTTACCCAAAACCTAAAATAAACCCCAAACCCAACCCCCCAAACGCTAAACCCGTTCAGGGCTGGTTTTTGTCTTCATGGAAATCCTCTGCACGCCAATTCTTCGACATCGGCCTCCGATGTGTCGGGTGGCATGTCCCCAGCCATCCTTTTGGGCTCTTGGGCTGTCGGACTACATCGGATTTAGGATTTTGGATTCAGGGTCTGGGGTTTTGGAGGGCCTCGGGCTTTTGAGCTTGGGAGCAAATCGGAT